ATGAGGCTCTGGGCAGGGCGGTGGTAGAACGCTGGGCGTCCAGAATCTGCCAGGAGCACCAGCTGCTGCCCAACTCTCTCTGCCCCCCCCCTTGCCATCTCTGACTCATTATAATGGACAATGCTGGACCAATTAGGAGCAGTAACAATTTAAGATGTGCCAAGGGCATGCGAACATTTGCAAACACGTATTAAAATGCATCAATAATTAAGTGCCTCTTTAATAGTTACATTTCTGGCCTCCGGACATATCTGTTTATAAACCTTGGCTCACAGCATGCTTTGAGATGTGGGTTATGGCCTTACACTCTGGTGATGAAAATTTAAAATTCTCCCCTGACTTGGATTCTGAGATTCGACAGTGCCATCGTAGCGTGAGTGTGCATGGGCTTCTCCCAGCTGCCTGGTGCTGGAGGTGTGGTCTCCAAAGCAGCCAGCCACACGCGGTACAGATCTGGGCTCTGCTACTATGCAGCGTCTGTTAGGGCCTGTCCCCTCCCTTCCTGGCCTGTGACATGCACAGAACGCTGTTAGGATTAGCAATTACGTGTGCAAAACGCCTGCTCCACACAAGCTCAAGTCATGGCAGCTTCCGTTCGGGGTGGCCCCACCACCATCGGAGGACACAAAGAGGCTGCAGTGAGCTGAGGGGTCGTGATGACCAGTGTATGACCAGTGGTTGCAAACTCAGTGCCCAGCGGGACCAGGCAGATGATGGAAATGAGAGCCAGGCTGGATGGGGGGTGCTGGGACAGACAGAAGAGTACGCAAGGATTCTGCCCAAAGGGGGTGCTGTCTCCCAGGCCCAGCCCCGGGCACCAGGCAGGAGTGCCCATCCAGGTGGCCGGGGCTTCTAACTTCTTAAAGAACTGGGAAAAGCAAGTGTTTATATCAAATCTCCTGACAACTATGTGGCAACTCTTCTTTTTTTTTTTTTAAATTATTGCCTGAACCAAACAAACATCTCTTTGGGTTGACCTGCCTGCATGGGCCCCCTTTTCCAGATAAGAGCTCGGGCTCCTCTTCCTTGTAGCCGCAGAGGCTGGTGGGTGGAAGTGTTCCTTTGCGAGTGAGTGACCATCTGTAACCCACTGTGTGGACTGGGGACCCAACTGGCTCACTGGACAGGAAGTGACGGGCTCATCGTCAGCTGAGGCTTGGACCCCATCTGGTACTGAGAGGTGGAGTGGTGGGTGCAGGGGGGCGCGTGATGCCCCCCTCTGTTTCCTTTGCCATCGTAAGACACATAGAGGGAAGAGGGAAGAGGATTTGGTATGGAGGGTGGGGGAGTGGCCTGGTCAGAGGCGACCTCACAGGGCAGTCGCCACCTCTGTGCTTCCTAGCTTCCTAGCTTCCTAGCTTCCAGGAGCGGCCCCTGTGTGGAGTCCAAGGTGGGACTTTATTTTCATTTTTTAACGCGTCTGTAGTTGTGAGTAGATGGTGCTCGCTTGTTTGTTTCCTTCTTTATTGGGACCAAATCACCCCAACAACTCCTTGGGTAGTCGAGTATGATGGGATCTGGTTTCAAACATGCTTTTAAAGTGAAGAAATAAATACAATCACGGCTTGTAAAAGGTGATCATTAGAAAATGGTCCTCGGCCCCATAACTTGAACGTAATAGCCCCGTTACGCAGGGCGATGGCTTTTCAACTGCTCCCTGCTTGTGCTGTGAGGTGGGGCTGGTGGGCAGCTCGGGCAGCTCCGTAAAAGCTTTTCCAGTCGCCATTTAACCTCCACTTACGAAGAAATAAAGCGAAATTGATGCTGATTTGGGCCTGCTTTGGGGGATATTTTTGTTCCATAAAAGCCCTTTTGCTTGCCATTTGCTGAGCTGCTCTGTCACTTCAGGAAGGGCTGCTGTTGATCAAGATAAAGCTTTATGGCCACGATATTTGCTGCTAACAGCAACCTAATGCAGCATTTTCATTTTTGTGCAATTAATGTTAACGTCTGCTACGAAAATTGTCATTAAATACCATTTTAAAATCCATTCAATTTGCATATGCAAAGCCCATTTACCATCACAGAAGATGTAGCCAGCACTTCATCACGTCCTGTCCCTGGAATGGTAGCCACTCGGTTTTATAGCAATTTAAGGTTTTTATATCGAAGGCTAGATGATGATGGGTGTCCTCGCTGAGCCCGGCGACTTCAGCTTGGCCGTTGTGTATAGGAAAACAGAGCCCCGGGACCGGCAACTGGGGGTGCCGGCGCTCTGCCTCCCACAGAGGCATGGCGTGGAAGGAGCACTGGACAGGGAGTCCACCAGCCTGGCTCCGGGTCCGGCTCTCGTCTGGTCACAACTTGCTCGGCGGCCTTGGGAAAGTCTCTTCACCTCTCTGGGCTTCTACTTTCCTGTTTTCAGTAAGGGCTTTGAACCAGGTGACTGCTCATGTCTGTATATTTCCGTATTTAAAAATATAAGCACTCCAGGTTGAGAATCCAGGCCCCACAGGCTGAGGAAGTTATGTGAACTTGGGAAGGCCAAGCAACACCTTCCTGCCTTGGCTGCCACCCTGCGGCCTCCTGCACAGGGTTTCCATGACAATGACAGGGAACTTACCAGAGAGTCCCAGGACGCCCGGTTACTACTGTAACGTCCTATGTACGGATTAGAAACAAAATTCTGGGAGGAAGGAGAGTTGGGGACAAAGCTGGGACTAGAACCCCAGGCTGACTCGGCCAGGGCTCCTCCCGGGCACCAGGCTGTCTTTGAGACGCTGGTGACCAGCACGCACAGGCCCAGTGAGCTGTGCCCAGGGGGACCCTGTGCCTCGGTGCCCCCGACAGCCTGTGACAGAAGGGCGAGGAGACACAGCGGGGGGCGGGGCAGGTGCCAGCGCTGGGGGACTGATGTGGGCATCACTGCGAAGGTTGGGTAAGGACAGCGTACAGACGCTTAGCTAGTCCAACCCAGCGGAGACTTTCCAACCCGCCTCTAGTGGCGGATTCTGGGTTTCGAGGGCCGGTGAGCAGGGAGGGAGATGTGAGGCCAGGGCAGGAAGGAAGGAGGAAGTGATGACGCTGAGCTGAACTCAGGAGAACGGCAGGTTTTAGCCTGAGGATGGTGAGAAGGGCGCCCAGAGGCACAGTGGCAGGCACTGTGGGAAACCGCGTGAGGCTCCTCAAAAAATGAAGCGTAGATTTTGCGTGTGAGCAGCAGTCCCACTCTGGGTACGGGCCCGAAGGAACTGGAAGAGGCTCAGACAGACATCGAGACCCACGTCACCCAGCATATTCACAATGGCCAACAGGTACATGCACCCCGGTGTGCATCCACAGATACATGCACACGCAAAAGGTGGTCGAGACGCACAATGAAACAGTCTCCGGCTTCAAGAAGGAGGAAATCCTGACACCTGCTCCAACGTGGATAAACCATGAGGACATTAAGGTAAAGGAGACACAAAGGGGCAAATACTGTGATTCCATTTAGTTGAGGTAGCACAGTAGTCAAATTCATCAAGGCAAAAAGGAGAATGGTGGGCACCAGGGGCGGGGGGAGGGAGGAATCGGTGAGTGTCATGAGCTCAGGGTTCAGTTTTGCAGAACGAATTGTCCTGGAGGTGGACGGTGGCAGTGGCCCCACAACCGTGTGAATGTCCTTCAATGCCACCGAGCTGTGTGCTTCGAATGGGAAATCTTATATTCTACCAATGTAAAGATGATTTGAAAAAAATAAAGAAGGAGCCGCTAAAAAGCACATCAAGTATGATGGCCTAGCCAAGAGCGGGCGTGAAGATAGAGTCAATGGCCTTGACTGTGGGCAAAGCAGGGCGCTGCCATGCTGGTGGGCCAAGTATTGGCTTTTCAGCCACAGGTATCTGGGTGGGCTCGGGGCAGCTGGACGTGCCCGGCCAGTTGCTGTGGCTGAGAGCAGGTCTATTCGTCTGTGTGGTGTGCAAACCTCTGTCATTCCGCAGCCATGGGAAGCTGTGACCCAGCGGGCTCAGGGAGCCCTGCCGCAGTGGACATCTGCTCCGGTTGCCTGCCTGCAGTTAGTTCTAGGCCCCACCCCTTCCGAGGACAGAATCCCTCTTTCTCCATCTTCTCCATTAGCCCCTGGTGATTGTGGGGATGGATTCCAACCACGCCCCCTCTAAGGAGGGGCAAGGGATCAGCCTGGCCAATCAGAGCATGAGAACCCACTGGCCTCAGCAGTTGGCGCAGAGGCAGACATGTGACCAGGACTGGCCAATCAGTGCATTTCACAAACCCTACTTGCAGTGCTTGGTTCGGGGTAGGCATGGCACAAAGTTGGACCAAAGACTCAATCTCAAGGCGTCTGTAGTTTTTACAAGCTTCCCACTGGGGTCACTAGGCGAACAGGATGGAACCGATCCTGGCTCTCTTGTTGCAGGAGGAAGGAGCTTGTCAGAGAAAGGAGCCCAAACTGGGGAGCACAGCGGGCGCTGTTACTCCTGGGCTTGTCAGTCATGTGAGCCAGCGAGTTTCCCTTAAAAAAATATCAAGGCAGTTTGAGTTGAGACTGATGACGTGCACCCACATTCTACTTTTTTTTTTTTTTAATCCTCATCCGAGGACATTTTTCCATTTTTTGTTCAGATAGAGTGGAAAGAGAGAGAGGAAGAGAGAGAGAGAGAAACATCGACGTGAAAGGGACACATTGAGTGGCTGCCACCCTCACGATCAACCAGGGCCAGGGACAAACTGCAACCGAGGTACGTGCCCTTAGCAGGAACTGAACCCGGCTCTCTCTGGACCGCAGGCCGATGCTCTAACCGCTGAGCCAAACTGGCCCAGGGCCACATTCTACTTTTACAGGCTGTCATGCATGTCAGGGTTGGGACATGGTCACATGTCGGCCCCTGAACCCATCACTGTGACCAAGGTTAGTGAAGCACACTGATTGGCCAGGCCTGGATCACCTGCCCCTCCCTGGAGTCCAGTCATGTTCCCGCCTCAATCCCTAGTTTAGGTACCACTAACCCCCCTCGCCCCATCGTCGTGAGGAATGGAGCCGAAGGTGCAGATCCTACCGTGAGCAGATCCCAAAGGTCATGTTTGGAGGGAGAGAGGGCAGTTCCTTCTTGAGCCTTCGGTCCTCCTTGTCACTGATGCGTATGTCATTGAGCTGACGGTAGAGGAGGTTCTCCTTGGCAGTTGCCAGGCCGGCTTTCACGGCCCCGCGATTCATGGCGATATAATTCCGGCTCAGCTCTTGAGGACAAGTGGGCTGCTGCTTAAACACATTCCAGTGTCCGATGGCTGAGGGCGGGGAGACACAGATCATGGTGCAGGTCAGTCTGGGCAGCGAAACCACCCGTGGTGCCCGACTAAGAAGACACGGGGCCCCGAGGGTTCTGTACCTTCCCATTAACCTGGAGCCTGCTGTAGGCCAGCCCTGCCTGGCTCCCTGGAGAGGGAGGGGTCAGGATTCCCAGAGTGTCCAGAGGGCAGCTTCATGGAGCTGGGTTAGCCTGGCCTTGACCCCCGTTGGGCGGTCAGAGCCCAGACGGCCTCTGGCCTCGGGACAAGCTTCCACACGGGGTGAGTTCTTTCCTGTTTCCCCAACACAGCCCCCTGGCCCTGGCTTGGTCCTCCCCGTCTCGCTACTCCCAGACCGTGGTTCCCACCAGGCGGTGCTGCAGGCCAGGCCCTGGGCGCTCTTCCTGGACTGTGGCCAGCCTAGGGCCAGGGCTCAAGCTCCGGACGTGCTCGCTCACCTTCGGGGACCCCTCCATCCAGCCCCCGGATGTAGAGTCCGTAGTTAAAGTCAATTCCAGGAAGACTGTAGCTTCTTTCTCGGGGCTTCCCGAGCTCGGCCTGTGGGGGGAGCACAGGGGCGAAGGCATCTCAGACCAACCGTTTGATGAGAAATCAGACAACAGGGAGTCCCCCGATGCCCGCTTTACCCCAGGCCCCGAGGGCAACCTGCAGGGCTACTAGGGTGTGGCCGACAGAGCCCTTCCGAGAGGTGTGCGTTTGGATGGGCACTGAGACACCGGCCTGGGTTACTCGTGCTAAGGGTCCAGCCAGACCAGCGGAGCCGCGGCCCGGCTGGCCCGGCGGGACGGGGTCACGCGGTCTGCTCTGAGCAGCTGCACTGGGGTCCAGTCGAGGCCTGCTGGCACAGCTGGAGGCGACCCACCATGCAGATGTGCCGCAGGGCCTGGTTCACTCACCTGGAGCCCCCATCGAGGACATCTTTCCCCCCTAACCCTGCATCCCTACCAGTGACCAGGCCCGTCGTCACCCTGGGCTGCGGGACAACTATCCTCTCTCTAAGTCTCTGGTGAACTCCTCCTTGAGCCCCCAGAGGGGTCTGTAGGAAAGACGTTACTCTGTGTATTCTCGGCCACGTTAATCCCCCCGTTTTCTAAGTAGGGAAACTGAGACCCAGGGAGGTGACCATTATGCAGGGCTCCTAAGTGATGGGGCTGGGTTTCAACGCAGTGGGTCCGGCCTCGGCGGGAGGTCTCCATCACCTGCCATGCTGCCTCTCAGCAGCTCCCCGAGGCCAGGGCCCTGTCCTGTAGGTGCTCCGATCATCGTCCTCACCCTGACGGGCACTTGCTGGGGTCCGTGCTCCAGGTACAGGAGTTGGTTTCTCACATGCTTCTCGCCCTTCGTCCTCACTCTTGCTCCTTCTTCTATCTCATCTATGTCCCCGTCCCTCTGGCTCCCAGGGACCTGAGCACGCGGGTTAGGTGATCAGGGACCACCTATAATGGCTTATCTCTGTCTCTCTTTTTTTTTTTATCCTCACCTGAGGACATTTTTCCATTTTTTGTTCAGATAGAGTGGGAGGAAGAGAGAGGGAGAGAGAGAGAGAGAAACATTGATGTGAAAGGGACACATCGAGTGGCTGCCACCCAACCAGGGCCGGGGACAAACTGCAACCGAGGTACGCGCCCTTAGCGGGAACCGAACCCGGGTCTCTCTGGACCGCAGGCCGACGCTCTAACCGCTGAGCCAAACCGGCCAGGGCTCATCACTGTCTTTGGACGAAACCCACCCCTGGGGCTGGCAGTCCGGGCCCTGCCCCTTCCAACCCCACCCGTCCCTGCAGCTTCACCTCTCATTTCTCCCCCGTGCAGGCTAGCTCACTCCCCTCGCCGAGGGCCCGCAGGTGCCCAGCCTCCTGGAACGCCCTTTGTCCCTGGCCCACGCTCCCTACTGGTCCTCATTCTTCAAGCTCTCTGGGCCCCCGAGTCCACAGTAGCCGCTCCCACACCTGACTTCGGTAACTTTTACTGCTCTGCTCATTCGGGCTTAGGACCCAAGTGGCCTGGATTTCTAAGACTGCGCATGCCAGGTCAACTGCCTGGGTGATAAATGCCTAGGATGGGCCTCTTCTGCCCCCGGCCCAGATAAGCTTCCCTGAATGTGACATCACAGGGCCCTAGGCCACCTGGGAGCACTTGCAGAATCACACAGGGGTGCCTGCTGCCGCCTGGATGGGCCTTGGTTACATGATGCTCCCTGAAGGAGCCGCTCACAAAGGACCGGTGTGACGTGATTCCGTATACAAGAAATGTCGTAAGTAGGCAAATCCGTAGAGACTGAAAGCAGATTAGTGGTTGCCTGTGGCGGGGAGGGGGAGGGGCATGGGACGATGGGCAGTGACAGCTAAGGTGTGCGGGGCTTCTTTGGGGGTAATGAAAATGTCTTGAAATTGATCATGGTGACTGTTGCACAATTCTGTGAATATGCTGGAAGCCTGTGGGTTGTGTGCTTTAAATGAGTGAATTGGGCCCTGGCCGGTTTGGCTCAGCGGTTGGAGCATCGGCCTGCGGATCAGAGAGTCCTGTGTTCGGTTCCCGCTAGGGGCATGTACCAAAAAAAAAAGTGTTAAATGAGTGAATTGGCCCGGCCAGGTGGCTCAGGTAGTGAAAGTGTCGTCCTGTGCACCAAGGGCTGAGGATTTGATTCCTGGTCAGGGCACATGCCCAGGTTTCGGATTCGATCCTGGTTGGGGTGCATATGGGAAGCAACCGATCGATATTTCTCTCTCTCTTTTGCTCTGTCTAAAATCAATTTTTAAAAAATGAGTGAATTGTATGGTGTATGAATTATATTGCTGTAGAGCCATTACAAATTACAAAGTAGTGTAATCAAGTCATTAACCGTGTGATGATCAGTTTAATATCTGACTCCCCAGGCAGACTATGAGCTCAGTCTTTAACTATTTAAGCTTAATTTTAAAACATTTTAAGTCCGGCCAGTGTGGCTCAGTGGTTGGGCATTGACCCATGCACCAGGCCACCAGTTCGATCCCTGGTCACGTCATATGCCCAGCTTGTGGGCCAAATCCCCAGTGGGGGCCATGCAGGAGGCGGCCAATGTTCTCTCTCATCGATGTTTCTATCTCTCTCTTCCTCTCCCTTCCTCTCTCTATAAAATCAATAAAGAAAAAAAATTTTTTAATGAAGAAAAACATTTAAAAAATAGACTTTAGCCCTAGCCGGTTTGGCTCAGCGGTTAGAGCATCGGCCTGCGGTCCGAAGGGACCCGGGTTCGGTTCCCGCTAAGGGCATGTACCTCAGTTGCAGTTTGTCCCCGGCCCTGGTTGGTCGTGCGGGTGGCAGCCACTCGATGTGTCCCTTCACATCGATGTTTCTCTCCTCTCTCTCTCTGTTCCTCTCCCTCCCTCCCACTCTACCTGAACAAAAAATGAAAAAAAGTCCTCTGGTGAGGATAAAAAAAAAAAAAAAATAGACTTTAATTTTTAGAGCAGTTTTGGTTCACAGCAAAATTGAGCAGAAGGGACAGAGGCTCCCCATGTGCCCCCATCAGTCTTTATGTTCACCCCTCTTTTTCCAGGGCCCAGCACAGAGGAGATGCTAGTACATAGGGGCGAATGAATGAGTGAATGAGTGAAATGCCTCCTTGGAGACTCTGTCAGTTTTTTTCCACGGAGTCTGATCAGTTTTCTCCCTCTTCCTTCCCATCTCAAACCCAGGCCCTGACCTGCAGGGCTCTGGGGCCTTGAGTCCCAGGCAGGTGCCCAGGTGCCTGGGGCCTCCGCGAGGCAGTTTGTTTGAATTCCTTCCACACGACTCGCTCTGAGCTGCAGACAAAGCTCTGGCTTCTCATTTGTTTATGAAAATGATCTGGCCTCTCTGATGACTGCCGGGGAAGTTAATTAAAATGTGACTTCTCTGGGAGAGGCCCCCTCCCTCCGGGCAGGTGCAGGTGGGCAGACTTCCAGCTGGCAGAGGAATGACAGACAGACTCAGGAGCTGGCCGCCACTCTGGGTGGGCAGAGGGGGCAGGGAGGAGGCGGGTGCCTTCCTCTTCCTGCTCTTTTTCTGGGAATCGACAACTGGCAAAGTGCATCGAAGCCTTAGGCTGCACAGATCAGCCCACTGGGAGGTGCGCTCATTTTTTTCACTGCACCAACATTTATTTTCTACCTGTTCTGCGCCAGGCCCTGTGCCCAGAGTGTGAAGGTGAACAAAGAAGATGCATAGCCCCTGCCCTTATGAAATTTATCTTCTTGCAAATAGGACAACTCAACAGATTGCCTCTAGCTCTGAAAACCCATGAGTCCTTCGGGTGAGACGAGATATTTGCAATACATGTATGTGTCAAAAGACTCTTATCCATCATATAGAAAAAGCGGCTACAGACTAATAAGAAAAAGGCAGCTGATCCTATAGAAAAATGAGCAAAAGACTTGAACAGGTACTTCATTAAGAGGATGTCCCAGTAGCCAAGAACCATAGGTTAAGGTGCTCAGTCTCTGGGACATGCAAAGGGAAAACTCAGTGCTTCCGGTGAAGGTACTTGGTGGGAACTAGACTGGTGTGACCACCGTGGAAAATTATGGAGCTGTCTTTACTAAAGCTAAACATATGCCAATGTGCCAACCTGAGAACACCCTCCTGGACCCCCAACAGAAATGAGTGCCCATGTCCACCCAAAGATACGTCTGAGAATGCCCATAGGACCTCAAGATGTGACAGCCACGTATTGGAAACAGCCCTAAATGACATCCCAGGTGGGAAAAAAGGAGTTGTGACCTATTTGTTCCATAGAATTGGTTCTCAATTGGGAGTGATTTTGCTCCTGCCCCCCGAGTACATTTAGTCATGTCTGGAGACATTTTGGGTGGTCTCAGCTTGGGAGGGGGTACTGCCCTCCATGTGGGGGTGGGGACCAAGGGGGCCGCTAAGCATCTCACAGTGCACAGGACAGCCCCACCCCCGACAAGGAGCGCTCTGGCCCGAATGCCGAGAGTACCGAGGCTGCGCGACACGACCCTCGTGAGAATGAAGAACTAGACACCGTCACAGTGGCTGTCACACACCTCCTGCAGGGAAAGGAGCCGACGCACAAGGTGGGCCTGCTCTACGGAGCCGACGTTCAAGCACAAGAATATGGTCCATCTGGTTGGGGGTCAGGGACATGCGTCCCCTTGGGGCGGGGACAGTGGCTGAAGCAGCACAAGGAAGCTTCAGGGGCACTGCCCTGCTGCCTCCTGACCCGAAGTGGGTGCCCTTTTCACCCCTTCTCCTGTGACCACGGCCGCACGGAGGAGCCACGGCCAAACAGGAGATCCGCCTTCAGACAGGAGGCACGTAACCAAGAGAGACTAAATGAACGCGGTTCTCCAGCGGGCTCTGAGCTGCAGTCTGAGACTACGGGGCGGGCGAGGTCCCATCCAGAAATCCTTGAGGGTTCAATATCAGTTTCCTCATCTCCTCTGACCTTTCCAGACGGGGGTGTCGCTCGGTAGACTGAAGGAGACGCCCCGAGAATTTGGCGAGAAGCAGATTCGGCCCCCTGGTAAAGTCTGCTCTTTGATGGGTGGGCTGGGG